GAAGAACACGCTCCACCCGCTCCCAGTGCTGTTCCAGAGAGGGGGCAGCGATCAACACGTCATCTAAGAAACACTGGACTCCGTCTATTCCTTGTAACAGCTGTGACATAGCCCGCTGGAACAAGGCCGGTGCATTTGCCAATCCGAACACGAGCCGAGTAAATTGGAAAAGTCCCTTATGAGTGTTAACACAAGTGTACTCTTGTGACTTATCTTCTAATAAGAATTGATTGTAACTGCTTGACAAATCAATTTTACTGAAAAAACAACAGTTATGCAATGAGGCACATAATTCACTTAAAGTTGGCAAGGGATACGAGTCTATTATTAGTATTTTATTAATTGTTCCAGAGTAGTCACCGCATATACGGACATCGTTATTTTTCTTCAAAACCGCGACGATGGGCGATGCATATCTCGAATAAGACACGGGTTTTAAAATACCTAATTGCACCAACCGATCTAATTCCTTACTTACTTTATCCCTTAACGCAAACGGTACTGGCCTCGCTTTACAAAATTTTGGAGCAGAACCTTCTTTTACATGCAGCGTCAATTTATACTTATTGAAGGTGCCCAGGTCGCCTGTAAACATTGTTTTATATTTTTGTAACAACCGTTCAATATAATTGGCACTACAATAATTTATAGCGACCAATGTCATTTTAAAATAGTTCATAAAATCCCTCCCAAGTAAAGCGACGGGGCCATTTTCTATTACGTAAAACATTAATTCATGTGTGATATCATTATGCACAACTGGCAGCTTGCATACGCCTAGCGGTGTAACTATACTGCCATCGTATGTGCGTAATACTTTGTTTGGCTTACCGAGCGGGCCGCACTGCGAAAAATACGTACGCCAGGTGTGCGCCGGCAGCACGGACACTGCGCTGCCTGAGTCCACCTCCATACTGAGCATCACACCACGCACGCCCACCTCCACAATCATGGGACGCCCACCGACACACTGAATATTATTTATTTCCGCATAACTCTCACTACTTTCATCTTCACAAAGATAGTAATTACGACGAGCGGAGGGGTTATTACCCGCACTTCCAGATTCACTTTTTGCACTCTTACACATTTTTTTCAAATGGCCTTTGACCCCACACTGGTTACACGATAAATGACGTAACCCGCAACTCGACGCTTCATGAGATTTGGCCCCACACACGGTGCAGCGGGGCGCGGAAGCTGGCAGTGAGGCGACCGGTGGTCGCGCGCGCCTGTTGCCGCTGCCGCCACCGCGACGTCCCCCAGGGCCAGCATACATCATGAACTCGCTTTTCACTGTCACGTTGGGTCCGGAAACTAGTCGCTGTGCACTTTCCACCGACACCGCAATTTCCATGGCTTTATTTAAAGTCAGTGTGGTGGCGTCCTCTCGAAACAACTTTTCTTTGACGGTCGGTATGTCTACTCCGAGAACAAAGCGATCTGTCAAACACATATCCAAATGGGTACCGAAACTACACTCCGCAGCAAGACCTCGCAGGCGCGCGGCATATTCCGCCATTGATTCAGTTGCTTGTTTGGTTGCTGAATGGAACTTCTGTCGTTCTGCATACAAACACTTCTTTGGCAGGAAATGCGAATCCAGCGCGTCCACAATATCACTGTAGCTGGTTGATTCGGGGACACCCGGGTGCAGCAAGTCTCGTACTAAACGATATGAGTCCTGCGACATGCAATTTAATAATATCGCTCGCCTTTTCGCACCCGTTGTATCGGTGTTGTTGTTGATATCATTCGCATCAAAAAAATTCCTTATTTGTGCTTTGTGAACTATCCACTCATCCACTTTGCAGTCGAACACGGGTGCGGTGCCAAATATAGACATTTCGTAGTTTTATACTAAAATAACCGACAACAAACTTTAGTACAGTTTACGCGTGGTACACTGAAACGATTTTTCAGCAATCAACGTCGCCAATGAGGTATTTCTAATAAATACTTATAGAGAACGAAAGAAAACACACGCGTGCCAAATCGACCATTTATTCAACTAACCTTTTGAAGGTAGGTATACCAAGAAAATGTTATTACTTACTACCTACACAATACATATGCTACAGATAGAAGCTTAGAAAATACGTACACACGCACACAGTAATTAGAAAAGAAATTTAACTTCAGCAAACAAGAATGTTTATAAACAATAAAATTCAAAGCAGCGCGGATATAGTTGAAAAGAATCAAATAAAAAAAACGAACCTTATCAATTAAAAAACAACGTTTAAATTGAAAAAAAAAAGGAAAAAAGTCAACCGTGACCATGGGACCTGTAAAGGGCCCGAAACGTCGGTTTGTTTGAAAAAACAAATATACGCGATTTAAATCCGGAAAAATAGTTTCATTCCTATGTATAACAATCGCGAAAACCTAAGAACTCGATAAAAAAAGGAAAAGTCCATAGTAGTTGGAGTGCCACTCAGAGCTTTAAATCGCAACTATCTGAGGGACACTGACACTGCGCCTGGCACCCTGAGACATAAGCTGATAAGTAATATGTTCCTGTAAACTCACCAGCACCCTTATCCTCAAAACCAGTAATGGGCCGCAGTAATGCTCACATTACTACTTGGCGGCAGAAATAGTGAAGGTGACAGTATTTCCCTGGACGAACTTTTTCACATGGAGCTGTTGTAATTTTAAATAAAAAATATGGTATACTAAGCCAATTACTTGATGCATACAACGGAATATATCATAGAGATGTACACCATAAAATCGAATCGGCTATTATGTATCTCGCGTCAATACGAGTGCATGTTGCTTGCATTGTATGCTGGTCGTTTTCTATTGTTTAACTGCCTCCGTGGCCGAACGGTTACCATGCCGGACTGCCACGCAGAGGTCCCAGGTTCGATTCCCGGGCCGGGAGAAATAGTTGTATGGCCTACAATTATTTCTCACGTGAGTTTGGGTGTATTTTGTGGTTGTCTATGCGTGTGTCCATGGCAACCGCGACACAGGATTTCCCTAGTGCGGGGCTATGTTGAGAGTGTGCGTTATTTATTTATTTATTATTTATTGTTTAGATCTTTGCGTGATGTTTTTAGATAAATTTTTTAAATTTCGTTTCGCTGCAGCTGATTTTATTATTTGATGTTGACTTTATGTTTGGTTGTTGTTGATTTTTTAATTGTTGTGTGTGTTTTTTTGGTGACGTAATAAAATAGTAATTGAATCTTTTTTATTCTGTTTATTATTTGTTCTTAAATTATTTTCTGTAAATCAATTCTCTCTTTGTTACAAATTATCTCGATAAGATATTTAAATCAATATTTTTTCATTCGATGTTACATCACCACATCTGAAATTTCAAACGTCGCCAGAATCATGCTATGTAAAATAGTGTTATTACTATATAGGTATATCCGCTATCGCTAAGTTGTCAAGAAGCTTTAAGGCTCAACTCACTCTGGCGTAGAGTCGAAGCGTCGCGATGCGTCATGTTTTTTGCCTATAGAATATTCATCTCTATTTTCCCATTATTAAGGTACAAATTTGTGTTATGCAAATATGAAATCGCGCGTTACTCGCGCGCAGTGACGCGTCAGAAGCCGACCACACTGTGATCCGGGCGCACTAATGCGAGTGTCGTCGCGTGTCTCCATGCGTTGTAGTTGAAAAACAGGACGCGACGCGACGACGCTTCGACTTTGCGCCGGTGTGAGTTGAGCCTAACGCGCTTATTCAAACAATAAGGGCGCGTTTATATGACGCGAATTTCATTGCGCTCACCCCGCGCGGTCGCTGAGCGGAGACCACGGCGGCCGCCGCCCAGCGATCGAACTGTCATGGCAATACGCTCTATTTATTTAGCTTTTAGCTGGAAGGCACTAGCTTGTCTTTTGTCTACGCAGTCGCCGAGCGGAGTCTGCTCTTCAACCGCGCGGCGGACGCCGCGGACTCCGCTCTTCGACTGCTCGACGGCCGCCGCGGACTCCGCTCTTCGAACGCGTGGCGGCCGCGCGAAAACTTTCTCCTCATGTGTCTGGGCGCTAAATGTGTTCAACGATTCGCCCCATGTTTTTAAATCTAAAATACGAAGGAATCTATTTAGGCGTAACTCATAATGTTTAGTTTTCTTTACTTAATATTAATTAAAATATTTATTTTATTCCATTTATATTGTTATTGCTTAAACTTTCTTTTTGTTTTCTTTACATGTTGTGGCACCTGCAGGCATTTAGAATTAAATATATTTTTAAATCTCCATTATTCCCTAGATTTATTGTATCTACCACTGGATGTCCTTAAATAAATAAATATATATATATATATTAAAATTGCACAAAATAAGTTACTGTTTATTGATTTCATCAACAAAAACCATCTACTACCCAAATCACATCTCTGCCCGGAAACTATGAATCATTGGCAAACAATGTCTCTTTAGGTTCTACGGAAGTCCAACGACGCTCCATCATTCCGCCACGTTACTTCCGGCCGGATATGAAGTCTGTATCATGTCTTCGCTTTAATGGTCTTGGAGGATACTTACAATTTTTGCACGTGAATGATGTGATGTACTTTTTTTCGTTATTTGATGATAGTAGTAGACGATTGGGTTTTTATATTCCGTAAAACCAGTGAGTTAAACTTTTTCAAATCGTTGGAAATGTAACTACTATTTCGGATCACAAACGCATATATTTTTAAATTGATTAGAGTGCGTATATACATGTACATAGATTAGTGTGTGAGTGGGCCTCAAGATGAATATGTCCAAGACTAGGGTTATGGCGAATATCTCCAACGTCACAAATCCAAGTGTCACCGTTGGAAGTGAGATGTTGGAGATTGTCGATTAATACGTTTATCTCGGGCATATTTTATCTTTTGTCAAGGAGCATCAAATGAAGGAGATCACCATAAGAATTCAGTTTTGGTGGGCAGCGTTTGGCAAGTTGGACGACATTGTTAAGTCAGCTAAAATTCCACAATGTCTGAAGACCCGTCTATATAATCAGTGTGTTCTGCCTACTATGACTTACGGTGCCGAGACATGGACGCTCAGGCAGGAGGCTGTGTATAGGATGAAAGTTCTACAGAGAGCCATAGAGCGTGTTATGCTCGGTATGAAGCTTATAGACCGTGATCCCAATGTCCTGATCCGAAGTCGATCTAAGGTAAAGGACGTCGGGAACCGCATCACGAAGCTAAAGTGGAGCTCGGCAGGGCACCTGATACGGAGACAATATGACAGATGGAGTAAGGCGATAACTGAGTGGCATCCAAGGACTGGATACAGGAACGTCTGGCGTCCAGCGGTGAGATGGGCGGATGACATCGCAGGAATTGGGGGACGAACCTGGATGAGACTGGCACGGGATCTTGGGAAGTGGCACAGAAACTTGGAGGCCTATACCCAGCAGTGGGTGAAGTCAGGATGTATATTCATATGAAATAACTTGTTCTGTGGCGACGTCGGGAACTAAACCTGCTCGATATTTTTAGCCTATTTATGAGTCTACATTGTCACAATTTTACCTTAAAGGTCTTAGAGAAAGAGGGGTGCCTAATTCTTTTTGGGAATCATCACGTCTTCGTCTTACTTAACGATCTTAAGATTTACTTAGGCATTTCTTTTTCGTGAATGTGGGTTTGTTTTGTTAATGACTACGGCAGCTTAGCCCTTAAGTATTCTGGGAATTATGTAAGAGGTACCAGATGTGATTCCGGTTAGAACCAATTTGGGGGTAACTATTTTGTTAAATTTATCCAATCTGGTATTGTGTGTTATCAATATGGTTTAACCTACCGGGTCTCATACAGAGGCCGTGAGTTCAAATCCAAGCCCGTACCTGTGAGTTTCTCAGAATTTATGTGCGAATTTTAATTCTAATTTTACCATGAGCTTTTCGGTGGAGAAAAAACATCAACACCTACAAGTCGAAGAAGGTTCACAACCTTCGGAAAACGCGTAAAGTCCCCAACTCGCATTGGGCCAGCATGGCGGGCTATGGTTTGAATCCTCGCCTAAGAGGAGACTCGTGCCCAGCAGTGGGACATGTCGCACTTGACAGCTAACATAGTATTATCTAAAAAATTGCGTTATATTATATTTTATCTCAAAATTGCGTTATAGAGATAATTTATCTCCAAAATCTTTCTATATTTGTATGTCATTCGTATACGATTTCATTTCAAAGTGACAGGTCAACACTGTTGCTTTGAAATTAAATAGGTAATATTAATATAACTTAGAGCAATTTTGAGATAATACTATGTTAGTAGTCATGTGCGATATATGTCCGTTGATTACGATGATGAAGATTTACAAAATCGTTTACTGTAGACCCTACAGTCAGTGTTAAAATTATTTGAGTATTCAAAGTGCTTTATCATATGTACATTTGATAAAAACAATGTCGCTTTATACGTATATCACACAGTAATATCATCACTAAGGTGATTCTATATGTTCAATTAATTAAACAAATTAATAGTTTCAAGTATTTTGTCTTCGTATTTAGTTTGAGACTACATTATGGTGTCACATTGTCATTCCAAAAGTTAAATAGCACCAGATAGTACATAATATACATCTCGAAATATTCTTTATAAAAACAACGTTGCCGAGTGGAAATGTATACAGAGCCTTAATGAACCGTAATTCCAGTTCCTTACGCTTCGTGTGAACTTGTATTTTCTACGAAAGAATAATACAAATGGTACCTCATTGAGGTTACCAGGTTGCCTGTGTCCTGAGAAAATACACACAATTTGTCCGCGAAATGTTCTAAAAATTATATGATTTGTTTTTTCGGTGCACACGTCTGTTGTTTTATTTATGACTGTTTTAAGACATTCGATTTTTGAAAAAGCAGTTGTCATTTGTATCTTTAATACAAAACAATAAAAATTAAGGAAGAAAATATATATTGGACTTTGTAGCCGTCTGTTAAGGTGATAGTAGCTATAGAGCTTCTTGTGAAAGAGTTCGTCCAGGGAAGTACTGCCACCTTACCTATTTCTGACGCCAAGCAGTATTGTGAGCATTACTGCGTTCCGGTTTTGAAGGGTAAGGGTGCTGGTGAAATTAAAAACACATGGGACTTCTCGACGTATGTCTCAGGGTGACGGATGCAATAGAAAAACCCCTCAGATCTTTGTGATTTAAAGCTCTTAGCGGCACTACAACTGTTATGGACAGGCGTGTCGCTCAGCCGGCGGCCACACAGCGTTCCCGCTCCGTTTCAAATTAATAATTAACCATTTAACAGAACTACCGTTCATTTTTCGCTGTGCGCTGATCTATGCACCGATGCGGACGCATCTTCATCACCACAGACAAGTCTCTTTACTTTTGTTGCGCGAGTGTGAGCTCGTGCGTGGTGATCGGGAAAATCACGAACCGTGGGCAGTCGCCTTTGGAATATGAATCAGGTGCTAACAGTGCTAGAAAAATATACTAATAGAGAATATTAAACAAATCTCATTACGTTAAGTCGGGTACAAGCGAGCTGTAACCCTAACCGTTGCATGTCATGGTACCAAAAATCGAAGTGTATACGTGGTCGGCGAGCTTGTCGCGAGCGAAACGCGTGCGGTTCGTAGTGAGTCGACGATAACCAGGTACCCATTCTTGGGAGCAAACACTATTTCATGTGTACACATTAGAGCCTCGTTACTGTATCTGTCACGTTACAGTTACAGCTCGGTAATGGGTACCCAGCTGACAGTTTCGTCACGGCACTCGTGTACGTCAGACGTAACGAGTTTGCCATTGTGAATACGTTTAACCTACGTGCGTATTGATGGTTCTATTATTGTGATGAGTTCACTTGAGGTTGAGGAGGCAGATAGGGAGTGCTTGGATATACATAGAATTGGAAAATGTGACTAAAAGTACGAAAAGAGAAAATGCCGATTAGGAGAAAGGTATAATAGAACTGAACTACAAAATGGAAACAGCTGACAGTAACGAGGGCAGACCTATGAAGAGAAATCGAGAAGAAGAGGAAGAGGAAGAAGAACTAGAAGACAGAGAGGAATTAAAGTGGTCTACAGTCGAAAAGAAGGGGAAAAAGTAAAAACTGTTCAAACGGAGATAATAATTTCAAGCAAACAAAAGTTGCCTAAACAATTCGTGATTGCAAAGTTATTTCAAAAGGCGCATGAAGTCAACATTTCTTATGGAATAATAAAAAATGTAGATTTAGAAGTCAATGAAGAGGAAGCTTGGAAAGATGTTAAATACTCTAATGAAATCTCCGTGGTCCTTTAAGCAGTTAAATCTTCGAGATAAAGATGGTAAATGGGTACCCAGCGAGCCTGGTCGCGTGGGTTTTAGCTCACAATCCCTTCCAGCTCATGTTTTATAGGTAATCTATGCACCAAAGACCATACCCAAAAGTGCAAAAAAAACTAACGCCTCCAGATAGTAGATATCATTTAAAAGGTACCTGAAACATTACTCAAATTTGAAACGTAAAGTAAAGAAGGAAAATTAATATGATTATAAATAAATGTAAAAAGATTTGTAGCGATCTTCGCTCTGGTACTGTCTTAATATTGACTAAAGTCCATAACGTTGCGAGAAGATTAAAGGCTTACGCTCGCTTTCACGGTAAAAGTAAAAAGTCATGACGAAATCTTCATATCAGAGAGGTTCATTTAAATTTTTAGCACATTAACGTGTTATCTAAGCATAAGCGAAAATTATAATAATTTTATCAGTTTTATACCTGTACGGAGTCCTGTACCCTACGATGAGATCGGGTTCGGCCTGCGGCGTGTGGTCGGGTATCTATTACAGGTTGTGCTTATGCTCTTCGATGGCACAGTGCTTAGTACTATGGGCGCTTGATGAGGAGTTCCGGGTTCGACTCCTGATTTGGGCCAATTTAGGAAACGAACATTTCTAAGTTGGTTCTGGTCTGGGTATTCTGGGTATTGGTCATTATTTTTTGAATTATTGTGAGATCTTGTGCTCGTACACAATACATTATACACTATATACTACCTACATACGGTACTTTGCGAACATTTTGGGCTTTACCCTCGGTATTTATGACTTTGTTTTAAAAAATGAAAATAGCTCTTTAATGGCGGCCATATTTAATAATTGCAAAAATATATTTTGACCTCAAATTATTTACAGACAATCTTGGAAATCTTTTTCGTGCCAATTTTCAGCCCGAGCAAGGCAAGTTTTTCAACAGCCATCTATAAAACAGCTGAAACGAAATTTTTACTCCAAATTATGAATGGAGACATGCCGTGTCATTTTCAGTTGGTTTAGCAAACTTTATCTACTTTATCTATCAATTTTTTATCTGCCGCCAAATGTGTATATGGCAGCCATATTGAAAAATGGTAAAAAATAAATTTTGACTGCAAATTATTATCAAATAACCATGGAAACCCTCACATGTTGATTTGCAGCCGATTTAGAGCAAATTTTGGTGTTTTGAAAATGAATACTTGAACGACGGTCTTATTTAAAAACGACGACAAACCAATTTTCATTGCAAATTTTTGTCCGGCACTCCTAGAGGCCTCCATATGCCACTTTCAGCAAAGTCTTTTTCAATGAACAGTTTTTTTAATGAAAAATCGCTTATGTGGCAGTCATATTAAGACATGACGTGAAGAAGCTTTTGACTCCCCAATTATAATTAAGAACTAAAGATGCATGCCAATTTTCAGCCGGATCGAAGCAAGTTTTTCTTCGGCCGCCATTTTGGAGTAGCCATTTTTTGACACAGGCAGTTGTCCATTGTTACCCTCTATGACATTCCTTCCAGCACCTCCTACTAATCTATTACCGTGATAGAAGACTTTGAAATTTGTATCGCGGCCATCGAACATTTTTTACTTTCAGCGAAAATTGGCCAAGGTGTACCTACCTTATAAAACGGCAGAAATATTTTGAATTATAGTTTTTGCTGGCCGTTTATCACTCTTTTATATTTTTCACATTCAGGTCTTGTCATATAATTTAATTATTTACTTTGGAGCTTATCCGCGTATAACGGTATATATTAATAAAAAAAATATTTACTAAAGTAACCCAACTTTTGAGTTTAATAAAAATGGTAAGATCTGCTTTTGATTGCGTAAGTTAATACTTAACAAACTTGTTAATACATATCACATTAGCACATTATATTTCATAATGGAACATCCTAAGAGGTACTTCAGCCGGTCAGTGTATAATATCCGTTCGGAAGTCGAAGTGTTGCTTGAGTGATGGTGAGGCCGGCACGTTTCTCGCCCATACGTCTTACGATGTCCTTATGACACCCTCTTTGCGTCGACAGAAGTAATTGAGACTTTCTTGTCGTATTTGTTAGTATTGTTGGGCGTATTTGTATTATAGGGTGACTTTTTTGTCGTTTCTGCCAACCCGTTTGAGAGATAATCCTGATGTTCTGTTTGTGTATAGTCGGAGTTTTGTAAAAAGAGCAAAAGCGACATTTCGAAAAAATTTCAGGGAAGTATGTTTTAGGTATTTAGGACGCTCAACATATTTACGTCCTGTTTTAAACTCAAATTTAAATTTTTTTCTGAATTAAAATCAAAATTGAATTTTAAAACAGGCCGTAAATATTTTAAAACTGTCGATAAAACCGAAAATATGAGCCCCTGATTTTTTTGTCGAAATGTCGCTTACGCCCTTTCTACAAAACACCGACTAATTATGTAAGTAGGACCACAGTATACCTAAAATCAAAAGATACGTCGTGTATGTATTATATATATTTTGTTATTACCAATTCTAAAAGTGTTTTTACAGAATTGACAGCGTTTTTTACGATATTAAGTGACAGGTGGTAAGCCACACACCTGTCTATAAAAGTTGCAGTGAGGGGCACTGTCACTGCGCCTATCACCCTAAGATACAAAGTTGATAACTCCTATGTGTCTGCAGTTTCACCGGCGCCCATCAAACCGGAATTCAGTAATGCTCATATTACTGCTAGGCCGCAGAATTACTTCCTAGGACGAACTCTTTCACAAGATGACATACTGCTACTAAACTATGTACATTAATAAGCATATAAAGGACATTTAATAGAATTCTAATGTCGTAAGTATCGTACATGGATTGCAGGTAGTGTACATAAGCACCATTACTGTTATATTCTAACTATTCAAATCTCAATTACCATTGTAAACATTGAATAACTGCTTTCTATTCAATAGACAATGCGGTTGCCGGATTGTCTCGTCTTTTTGAGAACAAAGGATTTCAATTCTGTTCCACGTCAGCTGCAAAAAGGACCCCATACGTCGCATTGCGCTCAAGATTACATAACCAGGTGTTTCATCACATCCCCACACGATCAAAAAGAAAATATTAAAAAACTTCATTTTGTTTGTCAAGCGCGAAACTCATCTTTGGAAGTGTTTACCCTGACGCGAAATAAAACTGCGAATATGTTCAAGACGTATTTGCAAGACGTGACTGTCAATATGGCGAATTGTATAAATTTTCTCGCGGCTTTTAAATACTCACGCCTAAGGTCGAATGTCGAGGACATGTTCACAGATTGTACCTACATTTTTCTCATACGTGGGTCGCAAAGCCGATTTTTATTACGTTTCAAAAGAGATGTTGGTGAAGGAACCGATTAGTTCACATAAAAGATGAGATGATACCGCCTAAGATCTTTTATACTCGTGCTTTCGAAAGAACAGTATGAAAAACTTCATGTGTAAATCTATGATTGTATTTTTCAGTCAGTTTTCATTGTGAGTACCGTCATAACGTGTCTCAAACGAAGAACGCGTTATTTTTAAGAGCTGGTCATGTTTTAATAGCAAAACATTTGTAAAAAATACATAAAAGCAAAACGTAGACTTTAACCAAAACAGCTTGTTTTATGTATAAAGTATTGCGCATTTCACTGGAATTATTTACGTATTATTAAAGCAGGCGTCCTTGTGCGATATTTAAATTGTTAACAAAAGGGAGGCGTTGGCTGATAGTAGAAATAAATTTATGAAGTCGCCGTCGGTTCGCCGCCGTTCATTAGAAATCCCATTAGCATAGAAATGGAAAACATCCCTCATTGCCGATCGCTATACCCTTTTTAGGAGTATGGTGTATGGGCGCAATTAATAAATGAAGATTTATTACATTGTTTAAAGTTTGTGGCCACATTTGGTTTGCATAAGCAAAAAAGAACTATTGCAGCTGCTAGAAAATACTAGTGTTGCTCGATCTTTGTATTAAATTCATTTCTATTTTAGCAAATAGAAATAATTTGATACAAATGTACAAAGCATTTGATACAAGCCTCGGCGGGAATGGGGATTGCTTGATTCGTATTAATGTCTGTTTACTGCTAAAAGAAGTCAATTTGATCTGACTCCCACTTTTCGGGATATATCTCTCTCTTACCGACAGCCTAGATCTCCTTGGCATAACATTGAGCGCAACCCTTAACTTTGGTGCTTATATTGAATGTAAGGCACAAATTGCAGCCAAAAAATTGGGTATGCTTAACAAGGTTAAGCGATATTTCACGCCTGGACAGCTCTTAACTTTATACAAAGCACAACTCCGATTTTGTATGGAGTACTGCAGTCACTTGTGCATGGCTCAGCGAAGTATCAACTTGAGGCTCTTGATTCGATTGAGCGCAGAGCCAGAAGACTTATTGGCGACGTTAAGCTTGAATCTAAAGTTCACAATTTGGCCCACCGGCGCAAAGTTGACCTTCTATCGGTTTTTTACAGAATATATTTCGGTGAGTGTGCCCATGAGCTCCATCAGCTCATCCCGCCCGCCCCCTTTTATCATCGGACATCCAGACATACGACGGGATATCATCCTTACTTGGTCGATATTCCCTTCAGGCGTACTAAGCGCTTTTCATCATCTTTTATTATGCGCACAGCCCAGGAATCGTTAAGGTGAGACTGAATAGGCATCTTCTGGGCAAGCTCGTTCCATCGTAGATCCTATCTTTGCTCCAGAACTAGGTAGTGGTCAAGAGCAAGTCCATCTAATTTAAAAAAATCCTTTACTTCCCGGCCTCTGCAATAACGTACTAAAGAAGCGAACAGTAATGGATTTTCA